CTGCTGACCGCCTCGTTGCCAAATCCCATTTTAAATAGCACAAGATAAATATTAATACTCCTGTGATGAGTAATTTTGTGTGTTCCTTTGGAGGGCATTTTTAGATGAGATTCACTTTCTATCAGCGGACTTGGGGTGAAGCAGGTTACCCTCCATACTGTGGGTGGACTTCATCCAATCACTTAAAGTCCTGAACAGAACATAAAAGAATGCCCTTCCCGCACAAGAGGGAATTCTCCAGCAAACTGCCTTTGGATTTCATCCTCACCATGGACTCTCCTGGGTGTCCAGCCTGCCAGCCCACACTCCCCACATTGCAGATTTTAGAATCGCCAGCTTCCATAATCCTGTGAGTCAATTCCTTATTATAAATCTCTTTCTATACATATCCACATCTGACTGGTTCTGTTTCTCTGGAGATCTGTGACTAATTCAGCCAGCAGGGCAGCCAGGACTTGAGGGTCCATGATCACAGGGGAAAGGAGCCTTGAGAAATGGGTCTTACGTGGGGCATGTGAATTTCCCTTGAGGGATTTCTGACATTTAAGGTGCACATGTGTGGGGTGAGAAAGCAGGCAAAAACCAGCTGTGTAAAGCCAAAATTGCAGGTAGGGATTTCAGCAGTCTCAGGGGACTGGGGAGGAACAATGAAAGGCAAGGCCCCAATGAGGAGGGCCCCAGATGTGGGTTGAGACCGGTGAAAGGGGATTAGGGTAAAGGAAGAGAGAGGCCTTGACTGAGCCACAGTGACCCAATGTACTTTTCCTGCGCCAGGAGAAAATATTACTGAATTTGAAGGAAGATTGCATCACTCAGATTCTGTGCTGATGTCCAAGGCAATCAAGACTTCTCAGGGAGCCAGGCCTGGCTTTGTCCTTCCACATGTGTGACCTTGAGCAAGCTACTTCATTTCTCTGGCCTCGATGTTCTCCAACGTGAGTAGGGGAGGGAATGCTGCTCCCTAGTGCACAGCTGTTGCAGAGGTGCTAGGCACTCACAGGTACCAGATAAATGCTTTCTCCTCCTTCCTTCCCTTCTTTCCCACACAGATAGCATGAAGACCAGCTGCGAAGCTATCTCCCAAGCGGATGAGTCACACAGGGCTTTGATAAGACAGTACCCAGCAACATAAACTCTAGGCAGGGTGCTTGACATTAAGGCTCAAAAGGACAAAATCCCGAAGGATTGGGATTCCTATGGCCCCACGTCTGTGGGTGCTGGTCCCCGCAAATCCCCTCCAGTTCACCATCCATCCTTCACTTTGAGCAATGGAACAGCCTTATCAGGAAAAGCTGCCAGACCACCTGCCCTTCTTAAAATTCCTGTTTTATCACCAAACTTTCAAAGTTGTTATTTTAACATCTCAGTACTGGAGAGCCTTGGGAAATAGTTCTCTCACGGGCAACATGGAAACTTTGCTCTGCGTAGAGTGACCCAACTCCCACTGTGACTCTGGTGAACCCTCTTGACCCTGCAAAGCCCGGCTCAGACCCTTCCTGCTCTCTGAAGCTTTCTCTGACGTCCTCCTGGTGCCCAGGGAGACATAAATTAATTGCTTCCTGTAATAAAGAGTCTAACTCTGTTTTTATGATGTTTAGCTGCTGAGAGCTTTTAAGCCTCATCCCTCCCCCTTTTCTTGTGCCCCACAGCTGGGCAAGCTGATAAGGTGCTCCAGCCTTTGGAGCCAAGTTTCTGCCCAGTGGAGGGAACCTTCATCCCTGCCCCTTCCCTCTGTGAAAAGGCCAAGTCAGCTCCCTTCCCAGATCCACCCTGTCGTCCTCAGGAAAGCCTCTAAGCATTTACGTATGTGTGGCATCTTGACATCGGAACCCGATTTGGGGTGGAGGTCCGTCCCCTTTCTTCAGAGGGACAATAGCATTTCCCCCATTTATGACTCAACTGCACGTTGACACAAAACTATGCCCTTGATGACATTTGCAGACATTTTTGCACGTATAGACCTCTGTGTGTATGTGTGAGGGGGTGTTAGGTCTTCAGTGATCGTTGCATTAAACCCAGTAATACATTCTCAAAATCAAGAAAACAGACACACGACACACACTCAATTTCAAATCATTTCCATTTGCCAGGTGAGACACATTGAGGGGGACATTCCTCTAGGAAGGAGAATCTGTGGTCCCACCTGGGTGCCCAATACCCAGGTCCCTCCTCTTAGGCAAGGCACCCTGCAACTGCAACCTTTGTCTCATGGCAGGTTGATCAGCATATACTTGAAGACTGGGACCCATCTCAGTCCCCTTGGTGTTCCCGACCGTTAGCTCACGGTAAGGAAATGTTCTATGATTATACATCGACTAAGATTTCTGGAATCCACGGGGTTGTGAGACACCATTCACACACTTCAGATGAAGCAAACACGCTCCGAGGCACCACTGGCTCCATTTAACAGGCCGAGGGCAGCATGGCGGAGATTAAGACCTGAGACTTACAGGAATTCTAGTCTGTACCAGAGACTATTGCTGCATAAGGTCGGGGCTCCGCAGCGTGTTTCTGCACAGGGTTGCATGATACCCACTTGAGCTCTGTGGGTGGGCAGGACTCTGTCGAAATAACTCAGTTCTGCTACTGACATTGTAGCAGAGAGTGCTGGCTGTGCTCCAGGGAAGCATTACACATGGACCCCCAAATTTACATTTCATGTAACTTTCATGCCCCAGAAAGTAATGTCCATCCTTTAGTTCTTATCCAACCATGACAAATTGTTAAAAACAATTAAAAGACAGGGAACTGCAAAAAAGGCAGGGGGTAGGTGGGCTTGGTTTCAATCCCTGCACAAAGTGAACGGCGATGCAAGTCCAGAGTGACACTTCCCCCGACCTCAGCTGCAGAGCAGGGCCCATGGGTGGTTGGGGAAGGCATGAGAGGAGCTGGAAGGGAAGACGGGATGGCAGGGTGGCAAAGCCACACAGGGACCCTGCATAGGGGTCACAATCTCTGGGAAGGAGTGACAGCACTAAATTAAAAAAGTGTCCTAGCGTTACTAAGATTCACAGCAGTGAGAGAGGCGAGGATTGAGCAAGCAGTGAGACCTGACCTAGACTCAAAATACACCTTCCCCAAGGTAAGGTCAGAGGTGATCCACAGCACAGGACTCTGAGCTGAGCTAAGGAGGGCTACAGAAGGGGCCCCTGAGGCTAGAGGTCGGGCAGAGAGCTGCCAAAAGACCAAGACTTCTTCTCCCACGGCAGAGGGGCCCTGAGGGGCTGCAGGATGGAAGGAGCAGAGCAGGGACCCCGGCCAGCCCAAAGGAACTAGTCGCTGGCATTGGCCACCAAGGTCACGTCCATGGGGCTGCTCCCCACAGCAGCAGCGACGTGAGCCTCACAGCCCCGTAGGCCTGCTATCCGGCAGCCAAGTGGTCTCTGCCCCGTCCCAGCCCCGGCCATCTGCAGCCACCCAGGGCCCCTCAGATCAAGGCCACAGTTAATCTGCTCCCCAAGGAAGGTCAGGGGAAAGCTCCAGCCTGAGCACTTCCCAGGTCCTTATCCCCACGGATTCCTCTCAGGGAAGATAAGCCCCAGCTTGGCCAAGGTGGGTGGGAAAGGAGAATGACTTCCTTAATTGGCATTTTCCAGTTGAGAGAACATTTTGCCTAATTAGGAAATGTCTCCCGGTCACTCTGACACGTCCCAGAGTAGGCGCTGTGGACCCCTGGGCCCCCCGGGCGGTGGGGGGCGGTGCAGGGCCCGCGGGCTCTGACGCAGATGTTTACCTGATGTCCTGGGCCGGGATCTGGTTTACGTTGGGAAAGCAGACTGTTTACGGGACGCCACATCTGCCTCGTCCTCTGGCTCCCTTTCATTTCCCTGTAATGTTGTGCAGGTCCCTCTCAGGTCTCTGTGGGAACGCCCGCGACATCACGCGAGTCACGCCGGCCCGGACAGCCCCATCTGGGAAACACATCAGCTCAGGACTTGGCACAGGGTGCAGATGCAGAGGGTGCGGGGACACCCTGATGGATGGTGGGAACCCGGGCCCAGAGCCAGGCACAGGGCCCCAGAGGGGGCGGGGGTCTTCTCCTTCTCCTTGCCCACAACCAAGGCTGGGCCAGTGGTGCCATCAGGACGCCGACCGCTCTGGCATGTTCTGGAAGCTGAAACCGACAGGGGGCAGTGGGGTCTGAGAGTGCCCCTTCAAGCTGAGAAGCCCCAGTTCCCGGGGCCTGAGTACCCTGACCCCAGCTGCAGAGCAGGGAGCCTGGGCGGTCTGGGAAGGCAGGAGAGGCCCTGGGAAGGGAGACGGGGTGCAGGACACAAAGCCACACAGGGACCCTGTGGCCCCTCCCTGCCCGCCTGCCCCTCAGACCATGGGCTGTGCCTGCTGTCCCAGAGGCTGCCACTCCTGCTGTGGGAATGAGGCCCTGCTGTTGGCAGACAGGCTGAGTTCTTCCCAAGTTGCCCCTGGCCCCTCAGCCTCCATGCTGGCCAGGCTGCTCCAGGCCTGCGTGCGACCACTGCGCCTAGGCCAACCTTCTCTAGAATATTCAGCCAGAATCTGCAGGCTGAGACAGCCCTCCCACCGCACCCCGTTCTGCCATTTTGTGAGCATTCTAGAAAGCAAAAGGATGACAGAGGAAAAGATGAAAGAGTGCACCCACTGCAGCCCTTGCAGACTAAGCCTGAGCAGCAGGTCCCACCCATGGGGTCTGCTTGGTGAGCGACACCAAGTCCCCCCTGAGAGTTCACGGGCCACCAAGTCCTTCATCCCCGTCCTTAGTCATAGGACCGTGGAGACTGCCCTGGTCACAGCTCACAGTTACCTATGACCACACACCTGGGTTCTGGGCCCACGGAGAGGATGCTAACACTGGGTCAGACATCCTGGCAGGACCTCCACCCCAGCCCCCTAACTGTCCTTCTGGTGGGAAATGCACGTACCCTAACATTTACCGTCGTGGGCACTTGGGTGCAGGTCAGGCCGTGAAGGGCACTCGCGTTGCCATGTAGCCCTCACCGCCTTGTCCCCTAGAGCGTTCCGGTCTTCCCGGACAGACACCGTCCCATAAACACGAGCTGCCCACTGCCCTCCGCCCTGCCCTGGCCCCCACCATGTGCTTTCTGTGCCCGTGATTTGACTCAAGGCAGCTCCTGGAGCGGAATCCTACAGTTTCTGTCCTCCTGACTGGCTCCCTTCACTGAGCGCAGGTCTCCCAGCACGTCCAGTTGAAGGACGCGGCAGAAATTCACTCCTTTTGAAGGCTTACTCATATCCCAGCACATGGATAGACCACGTTTGTTTCTTCAGTCTTCCGTTAGCAGACACTTGGGTTGCCCCCAGCGTGTGGTTTCTCTGAATCATGCAGCTGTGGCCACATGTACGCCAGGGCTGCTCTGGTCTCTGCTCCCGGTTCTCCGGAGCTAGCCTAGGAGGGCGACCGCTGCGTCTCACGGGAGCTTCGTGCTCAGTGCTCTTCCTTGAAGGAGCTCACTTCTCCAACTACGGCTCTCTTTCATCTTCGCCTTTGTCATCCTTTCTGCTTTCTAGAATGCTCGTGGAATGGAGGGTCCTCCAGCAGTCATCTGAACCATAAGTGTGGATTCCTCACCCGAGGACCAAGGGGCAGAAGACAGAGCAGCTGGGACACCTGAGGACATGTCGCTGGCTCCCAGGCTCCCTTCAGCAGACACGTACGTGACAGGATTAAAATTAAAATTCCTCCTTGTTTAGGACATTGGCATTCTGGGTTTTCTCTTAAAACTGACTCAAAAAAAAAATACTACTTTTGGAAAAAACAGAATTACACATTTTATTGCAAAGAAAAACGAATCACAGATAGAGTTAGGTATAATCTCACCACCCAGAGGTGCCCTTGCTTTGTATTTTGTTCGTTCATTTGTTATTTTTTTAATATATATCCCGTCTTTTTTGCTTCCAGGCCTGTGGTCATTCTGTGAACAGAGTAGCGTGTCTGGGATTCTCCACGCGGCTACGCCTTTTGGAATCAGTGACCTCCACGGCTTGTGACACTCCCTCTCGAGTCTGCGCCTTTGTGTGACACGGTTGGAAATCTTTAGCCAACAGCCCTCCCATCAGTCACTCGTGGGTCCTTCTGCGGGGAAAGACTCCAGGTGTGGGTGCCAGGCGGCCACCCGAGTGCGACACCCCTCTGTCAGCCGTGCCAGGCGGCCACCTGAGTGCGACACCCCTCTGTCAGCCTGGCCCAGAGCTCCCTGCAAAGCACAGGCGACGGGAGGACACTGAGCGCGCCCCACCGCAGGGCACAGGGCGCCTCGCCACCCCTCCTCAGCCCGTGGCCCTTGCCACGTCTTCCCCTTCCCTGCGTCTCCTACCGGGCACTGAACATATTTCAGCAGTGAGTCTTCCTTCTGTTTCCCTCACTTTTATTTGGTTTCTACTCTATTCTTTCCGTTTTCTAGATGCTAATGGTGGAAAACTCTGTCTCCATTTGTTAAGTTATTTTTAAATTTCTTTATTTGTTTTTCTTAATTACAAAAGGACTCAGTCTCAGAGTCATGAATGCAAACCATGGCTCGTGTACCAGGGAAAAAGTGAAAGTAAACATCTTTTCTTACTGAACTGTGGTTGGAGCGGGACAATAAACATACATTAAGTGGAGCTTGTGGAAAAGATAAGATGATGAGCATTCACAGAGCGGCTTAATCCAACTCCCTTTCAACCTCTTCTCACGGCTCTGCAAGAGACCTCTTTATCGTTGCAGAAGATAAATTTGTCCACGGAGCCTTTCATTTTCTGCTGACTGAGGACGGCTGGACAGATGGCTCAGTTGAGCAGGAAGTGAATGTCCTGGGAGCAGGGGCTCTCGGTGGAACAAGACTCTTGGTGCCATCAGCTAATGTCCTTATGCCAGAGGAGGGTTCAAGGAGGCAAGGAACCTTCCTAATAGTGAGCTCGGTTTGAGGCTAGAGTCTGATGGAGAAGTAGCCACAGTAGTTGGGAGCCCCTCACTGTGTCCCTTTGTCCTGTGGCCCCTCCTGGCCATGCAAGAGAGCAGAGGATCAGCCTCAGACCCCGTTGCAGCCTCATAGCTGATGTCCACTGGGCAGTTTGTCCCAGAGCCCTTTGGCATCAGGAAGGAAGGCCTGAGCTCAGACATTGACATGCACGGGGTTTTCTTATTCAGCTTGGTTTCTACTGTGGTGTTGCCATGTTGGATAGTGCTGGGGAAAGCAGGCAGCCCTGTCCTAGCACCCACACATCCTTGCCATGGGTCTAGACTGAGAAACCCAAGCACCCCGATGCTCTCAGCTCATTCTATATGTAGGCCCAGAAAGAAGTAAGAGGGTGAGGGTGACCATCCTGCCACTACTTTGTCTGTGGTTGGGGTGGAAGCTTTTTTGTTGCAACGTTTGCTACTTGCTCTAAATTTGCTGTGTACTAGTGTTACTGTCATCATGTCCCCAGATTTCCTGCCATGGGACTTGTGACAAACAGAATGCCGCAAGCTTGCAGACATGCATGCTCCTTCCATGCTGTTCTGAATAAGGTCTCTTGCCTGTTACCCGGAGTGTCACACCCTTCCCTACAGAAGACAGAGCCCTTGGTTGGTGCAGAACTCTTCTGGGGGAATGACCAACTACCTCACTTCCACTTGCAGCCTGAGGATGCAGGCAGTCAGGAGTGTGGGTTTGCATCTGTCAGACGGAGCTAGGCTAACCTGTCACCCTCTGCATTGGACAGACGTCTCCCTTGGGGAGGTTGTGTTGGTTCATATCACCCAAGCCACTGAAAGCCACTTTCGTGTTCTCATCCCCTTCCAGCCTCACAGCAATCCTCACAGCACCCTCTTCATCCTTCTTGAGGAGCTCCCTCATCTCAGCGTCTGGGACCTACCTCCTGGTTCCCCTGCTCGCTCTCTAAGGGACCCCACTTCAGCCCCTTCCTGTCTATCACTTTGAACTTCTTGGGGTTCTTTCTCTTCTCCCTCTCTTCTCCCCTCCTCCTCTTCTCCTTGCTCCTCCACCTCTTCATTTATCTGTATGTGTCTCTCTCTCCCTTTCTCACTCCCCACTTCTCTCTTTCTCCCTCTATCTTGATATTGCTTCTATCTGCAAGAATTTCTAAATGGTATTTCTGACTCTTCACCAGTAACTGTGCCTTAACAGCATAGGCTCCTTATCAGCTATGGACTAGACACCTCTCGGCTATCTCAAAGCACCTGAATCCCAGCACACCACACATGTGACAACCATTACAGGAGCTGGAGGCACCCTCAATGAGGAACCCAAGGGGTTTGCTTTCCCTCCAACCTCACGTTCCATCCATCAGAGGGTCCTGTCATTTACACCTCTAAAATGGGCTTCCAATTTATCCGAGTCTCGAAAGTATGGCTGACTTCCCTTCCTTCCTACCCTGGTCTTTTACCACCGTCATTTGTCACCTTCCAGAGCTTTATTCCCATAACTTGGCTGGTCACTTCCATTCTTCCCTCCTCACGACAACCCATCATCACAGAGTAGCGACAGTGGCCTTTAAGAAACACAAACCATCTCCTCTCACTCCTCTGCTTCAAAGCCACAATGGCTTCCTGCTGCACTTAGAATAAAAGCTAAAAGCCTCCACGGATCCTGGTTCTGACTGGTATAGCGTGGGCCTTCCCCAGGGGGCTCCATGGAGGCATGGACACGGGCGTAGGGTGATGGCTCCTCATGATGTCACGTCTCCCAGACAGATTGATGGGTCTTTCCATTCTTTCATAAATTATATTATTAAATGAAGTTAGTTAATTCAATTTTGTAGTTTATGGCCTGTGGACCTAAACCTTTTTTGTTTAATTTACTTCTGATTATTCCATACTTTAGCCGCTTGTGTCATTGGTCATGTCAAGCGAGGCCGTGGGGCTTTGTGTGTTTACCTTGTCCCAGCTGCCACTCCACATATAAACAATGTCTCCCTCCAGATGGAGAAGGGCTGTTTTTCATCCAAGGGCACACACACGCTCCCAGCCCAGCATACAATGCGCCTTTTCTTCCTTGGTCTGACATGCCAAGATCTTGTCAAAGACCAGACACCAGCTCTCGAGTTTATTAAGTTTCCTGCCTTTCTTTCTTTTCTGTTTTTTTCTTTTTCTTTTTTTTTAATGTCCATTTTTACCTTTAGCAACTTCTTTCTCCTTTTTAAAAAAAATGTATTAGGTTGGAAGTTTTGTTCCTCATTTCTCTAGAAATGATTTTTAACTAAACAAAAAGGCCTTAATGTACTGAAGTTTGGCATCCTGATGAGTTTTTCTGTATTTTCTTAAATCGATCAGTCGCTTTAATTGTAAAAAGAATACCTGCTTATGGTTCCTAGGAAAACAGTAGACTTAACGTATTTCCTAGGCAAATACGTTCAAGCTGAAAGCCGTCCCCACATTCCCTCTCTTTCCAATGTTAGCATATTTCAGTACGAATTTTTACCTAGCTTTCTGTGCTAAGGTAGACATAGATACACATTTCCTTTTATTTCTGAAATGAGGAGATGTTTAAGGTCAACATCTATAAACTGTAACCTCTCCTCTCTGCATAGCCCATTGTATAATTGTGCCATCCTGAACTCAAGAGCTACCCTACTGATGGACAAATCACATTATTTCCACATTATTTGTTTTGCATTGTTCGGTTGTTTTCATGAAACAGAAGGCAGCAAAAGACCTCCTGTTTATGAATATCTTTGTGCTGACAATGTTTCAAATAAGACAAAGATCCAAAAGAAGACCGAAGAGCCAAAGGATGTTCCCATTTCAAATTTAAAAGATGAAGACAAAGAGATCAGTAGAAATAGGAGCAAGTAATCTACACAGGAAATTCACACAGAAGAGGAAATATTAAAGGCAATGTATATGTAAAGAAGAAGTCGGTACCAGTCTTAAAAAGACAAAGGAAAGCAATAAATGAGGTAGAATTCATCCCAAGTTGATGAGAAAGTGAAGAAGTGGGCACCACCTGTCATGGCGTCCTCCCAGCTTGTCCAGGATTTTCCTTTAAAAAAAAAAAAAAGTTGGCTTTTTCTCTGCTATTTCTTTCTTCTTTCGCTCTTTTTCTTTCTCTTTCTCTCTCCTCTCTCTTCTTCTTTCTTTCTTTCCTTCTTTCAGGCAGAGAGAGACAAAGGGAGGGAAGAAACAGGCCCCTCCAATAGGATCCTCTCCACCCCTAGCTCCGGCTAACCAAGGTCACAGGCTTGCATGCGGCACCCGGCTTGCACGGGAAGCCCTGGGACACCACGCTGGGCCTTCCTGTGTGGTTCTAGTACCATGAAGATTTGTGTCACTGCTGTGCCACCATGACTGGCTATGAGTTGTCCCCCCCCCCGGCCCTTTTTTTTAAGCATGAAAAACTCTGCATCAGAACCTGTCTCATTCAAGTCCCCTTTTCAAGTAATTTGCCAATAACAAACACAAAGTTTACCAGCACATGTTCGTCTCACCAGCTATCCCAACTTAAGCAACTGTGTTTTTCTCATATGGTATAAGTTATCTTTTGGTCCTCCTGAGTCAACTAGAACCATAAGGAATAATGGTGCTGACGATGGGAATGGGAATGTCTACCTTAATATTTTTTTTTTTCTTTTTCAGATTTTTTCCATAAGGCTCATGTGTTCTTTTGGAGAGAAAGTGAGAAATCACTCCTTGCAGGAATGGCCATGCCACCATCACTTCTCTTCCATTCTCTTCTAAGGATTTTGGGCATGAATCCACATGTACCCAGCGTTTTTTTTTTTTTTTTTTTCCAAAGCCACTGAGTCTGGGATCTGAACCATGCAATCAGTCATGTGGGATCCAGTGCCTTAACCACCACACCACCTGCTGGGTCCCCTTAGTCTTCATTTTATTAACAGTGGCTTCAGTTTCATATTTTAAAATTACGTTCATCATTGGGAACCAGCAGTTAGCGTAATGGCTATGTTGCTGGACTCCCACGTAGTCGACCGCGGTTCGTGTCCCGGACCCGGTGGCTTAAAACTCACACAGGGCGCGTGTGCGTGCGTGCCCAAGATCCCGAGAGGAGAATGGAGGAGAAGGGATTGTGGCGTGACCATCCCCCCTGGGGGGTGATTTCTCGCTTTCTGTCTCTATGTCTCTCTCTGTCTGTCTGGCGAGCGTATGCGCCCTACAGTGAAAATCTCTCCAAAAAAAAAAAA